AAAAAAAAAATTTTCTTTTAAAAACATAGGTTTTGAAAAAAAAAAAAAAAAAAAAAAATGTTAAATTAGTAAATATTACAATGATTAATGCTTAACGTAGACACAATAGACGTGACAAAACTCAATTATTTTTTAGATTAATCTGTGTTTTTATATCGATGAAAAATAAAGAATAACGAAAAAGTGTAACGAATGGAATTTTTTTCAATTCATACGTCTGATAATCTTAATCGAGTTGCATTAATTTATTAATTCTCTCTTTTTCGGCATAGTTATTGTATTTTGTAATATATATATTTTAAAATGTAAAGTAATTTCCATCACAAAAACGTATAACGTAATTGATCAATTTTTCAGGTTGAACGTTCGAATCATAATTTATTACTCTGTTTAAATCACGATCTCTTCAATCCGAAATAATTCCCGCCCGCGAGAATTATTCGGATGTACGCTTTAAGCCGCTTTAAATCACGCACGATCGATGCCCGTTTTGCTGCGAACTATCGATGGGTCGCGTTACGCGTCATATCTATCGTGATAGAGGTCGCGTATTGATAATGTAGGTCATGCATTTTCGGCCTTGCACATTTGACATCCGAACGTCGATTGGTTCGCGCGTAGACCGATTCAGCCATTATTGTTCCAGAGTGAGAGCTAATGTTCCCGAACAGTTTAAAGAATTTTTAACGAAATGATCGTCGGTTTGATTGACAATACGTTTAATCTTACAATATGCAAGAAAAATAATTATACAATCTTCTTAAATTAGACGCTGAGAAAATCTTAGAAGTAAAAGCTTATATTTTCGAAGATCAAAGTTTGATACGAAAATACGTGCAGCGATAATCGTAAACAATTTTCGGACAATACGAGCATCATAAAATCAAATCACTTGTAACGTCTTTTCGACACATCTGGAATAAGGACGTGAAACGATAATCTTCATGCTTTTATTTTTTATACGGATATATTACGCGTCCATTATATTTTATATTATCGAGTATTCTAGTAAAATTCGATATCCGGCATCCGGCGGCGCTTCTAATAGCAATCGTCCAATTTAGGTCATTCATTCATTCGTACAATTGCTGGACGCCGCTGATCGGTCTTCGACGAGTATTTTTGATAATGCGCTCGAAGTACTATACATTTCTTTGAGCATTCGAAAATAATAGGACAATCGCTTCTCATTATATCGCCTTCATTGTTCGTGTTTCTATGCAACGTGTTCGAATACTTCCACAAATTGTCAACTAAACTTTGCGTGTCGATAGCGATAATTATACTGAAGGACAGATACACCTACGCGTTACAAGTTTCTAAAGCATAATTTAGAATATACTTTACAACGCATCAATATTAACCATCCCTCTAACTTAACGCGATGAAGCTGTTATAAATAAAAAAGTTTTCACAACAACACAGCTATATTACATTATTATACATAATTATACGCACGTTTATTAATTTATTAATTGCATGTGCGTTGTTTAATTTTCATTATAATGCAGCCATCATATTGTCATTATATCGAGAAGCTCGGTTAAAACTATTGCCAAAAGAAAGTCTATTAAGTATCTTTTATGATGATATCTAATAATTCAACTGTTCCTTAATTAGCGTGACTTCCGTTGTGACGACATTTCTCGTAGGCGTTGCACGAGCGTAGGTAGATACTCTATGAGACGATGCAGGACACGTTCCACAACGATTCGATCGCTTTCCATTTATCACCATCTTATCACCAGTACCGGATCTGAAATGCATATAGAGAGATTAATTTCAAAGTAACGACTTCAAGTAAGCAACGAAATTATTAAACGATTAAGAAATAAGAGAATCGGGTCTCTTTCGAGTCGACCACAATTAATGCTGGAATGCCTGATTAGAATTTTCATACAGTAATAGTTTCCCTCATTGCAACCATATTGAGTATGATGTCGGAGGCGAAAAATTATGTAAGCTTTTTCCTTGCACTATATACGTCGAAATAAGTTAGTGTTTTTGCAATATATTTTTCGCAATCATAATATGGCTTATGGTGAAGAATTACAAGTCTTAAAAAAAAATAATTTTCTGTACAATTTTAGTCATTCCAAGAAATGCAATTCGTCATACAATTGGCATTGATTTGTAAACGATTTCAACGTAATCACCGACAATCGAGCCTCAGAAACTCGTTGGATGATGCAATATACTAAATACATCATTGTACAAGTATGTTATATATTGAACCTTACGTCATATGATACACGTCGCTTTCTGTCGTTATACGTCTGCTTTGATAGCTTCGATAGCTTCGAACCAAGAATATCTCTCTGAAATGTCAGCAAGGATGAAATTCCGGATTTCAGCGTGAACGTAAATTCTCGCCTAAGCGAGACCCGAAGTAATCAGAATCTCGGGATTCCAACGAGATGGAATATGAACAACCGTAAGGTAAAAACAATTTGAGTTTGCACGGTGAATTCGGAATTCGTATTTAAGGTAAAATGATCGATACTTGGCTAATATTTCATCATCATCGATTCGATCGTATCGTTCTCATGCCTGACGGTACTTAACGAAGGCAAAGAATGTTGTGAATATTTATTTTGCGTCATTTACTGAGTCATCGTTAGTATACGGTGGACTTATGATCCGCGTGTTCAAAGTCGTAGGTAATTATGGACATATAAACTTCATATCAGTCTCACTGCGTATCGCGTTAAAAATACACTAATGAGCAAATGAAAAACACGATAGTGACACGTGAACGCAATAATCGGTATACATTTGTTCTTTATAAAAATATACATAACTTCTGAATTATAAATGACTGAAAAATTCAAGAATATTTATCATTAAAATTATGACCGTCAGTTCTGTAACATTTTATACATTCGCGAGGAAAATGCACTTTTTTCAGAAATACACGCCAAAAAATTAATAACAGAGATAAAGAAAACGCGCAGTTGTTTAGAAGCGGCAAATTACAGTGGAGATTAATTACAGCGGAGATCTTTTAATGTAAGAAGCTTTATCGATGGGGCATCATCATCGTGAACAATGAAACGTGTACCGGCAACTTTTATCAATGTGTAAACCAAGGAAAATCAGATAAACGTGTTATCACGAACCGGATCTGCCGTTCCTTCGAAAGATAACCGGAAAGCAGACGAGCTATTAATGAACTTGAAATAGTCGATGAATTCCGATTGTTTCGATGGATTTATTCTCTCGATTAGGACTCTCTTGGTCCCTCATTACAGACTTATCGAATTATGACAATCACACGCAAAAAACTATATACATTTTTTCCTTATACTATACATTTATTTTTTTTACATGGCTCCATTCTCTCGCAATCAATAAAATATATTTGTTACATATGCCGATGTCCTCCTTTTCGGGGTGTGTAACTCGTGCATTAATAGATATAGCTATAAATCATGATTAACTGCGATAAGATATATTTTCGCTGAAAATGTTTCTAGGACACGTTTAGATTGAATTATTAACCTTCATTAAAGGAATACGTTTATTAAAACTGATTTATATCGGAGTAGAAATAAAGAAGAGAAATTCGCACGATTTCTCGCATCCAACGTCATAATATATTGCAATATAATTGCAATGAAAGATCTCGGTCATTTTAATTATTTAATATTTTCCAGCGAATAACGTGTGCGTTCTACGATCATTCGCGGTTTAAACAATCACGAAGGCGCTACCTACACGCCTTTGTGAAAACAGCCATGTCGATTACGTCGATATCTAGATAGAAATCGCAGCGCGGGATCGGTCCCCGATTTTTCCAATTTTTTTTTTTTTTTTTTTTTTTACTGAACTTTTCACATCGCTGGCAACTACGCGCGCACAAAGGATTCGTTCGGAAGCCCCTCGTGTCACACAGAATATGTAACGGATATTGAACGGAACGGGGCTTCGCCGGTGCATTCGTCCGAGATGTCAATTGTCCGGCAAGATCGAAGGACGTGTGTCATGCCGTTATTCTATTAAGCCATCTCTCGTCAACGACGACTCTTACGTGGCAACGATTTTATCGCAAGCTCGTCGGGTGCGATTGATTATGTACGATGTGTAGTTCGGATCTATTTTTAAAATTGAATTTATCGAGCGCCTTTGACCCTTCATCCTCGGCAATGTTATCGGCCGGCTGTAAAGTTATTAGACGTAGGGTCGTTAAACGCATACTTTCCGTTGACGTTCGCCTCCATAACTTTGCAACTTTACGCGTATCTTGCTACCCCACGGCAATACGGAGATATTTTTAATCAAATAACGATGAGATAATACTGACGCAGTTTGTTTACAAAGTTTGTCTGATACTATAGTTTCCGTTGATTGATAATTATAACATTACTTTACATTGATGCTAGATAATAATATGAAAATAGTATAGCTTGATACCACCAGCAATGGCATGAAAGCGAGCGTTCGTCTCGCGCGAACGCGGGGTATCGATTGATTGGTCAACCATGTATGCGCGAGGCTGTTTATAGTTAAATAAGAAAGCCGGTGTATAGTCGGTATTACGTAAATAGTAGGTAAACTATTCTGTAAAGTTAAACCGCTCATTCTCAATGTAGTTATATACACGTGGCTAACTCGCTATCATACTCGTATGTTTATCCTTTCGCTGCTAAAGTCAATCAATCTCTAAAGCCGCACAATGTCAGCTCGCGTCGAGCAAAGTGTTAAATTTCTATCATTAACCCCTTATCGTTAAGAATAAAAATCGAAATGTCGATATCAATCGCGAATCATGCACTATATTTCCACGTACGCGTCAACATAAAACAGCAAATTCATATCTTTCCGCTAAATATAGATATTTTTTCACTGAGCACTTTCATATCATTCGAGAATCGACGTTTAAATTATCCCTGGGCCTGCTCGAATAATGCAAGGATCCCGAAGTGACTCGATTTCTTGAAATAAGTCAATTTTATTCCGTAAAGGGCAAACGTCCCGTGATATTACTTTATCGCGTTTCGACATGATATAAATAAGAACGAGATGTTCTTTTTTTGTATCGCGATCCACGGATTTCTTTTTACTACCGTGCCGTGAGCAAGTGTAAATTATTCTGATAATGGAGGTCGACGTTCCTGTCTCTTAATGGGTTTGCCAGAACGTAAGATCCGCCTGAGGCCAGACGGCGCCAGTCTTCCGGCTCCTCGCCAGGATTACCGGCAGTATATCCAGCTATCTTGTCACGTGTGTGCATGCTTCCAAATATGTAATTCGATCACGGAGAGCAATAAAAGGCAATACATATAATAAAGTGTAAGGAAAGAGAACGATAAATGAAGAATTTAATCTACAGTAAATAGAGTATAATCGAATTGCATCTCGCAGATTACGACGTATATACTACGTATATTACGAATGTGTATGTGCCCTTTTGTCCTCCTTACATTTTATATTTTTAACAGATAACTAGATAAAACGAGATAACATTCTAAAAAAAAAAAAATGATAATAATCTGCCGCACGATTTTTTTTTTTTCAACCTGCGTGAAAGAGGACGATGTATATAAACATATTTGCCTGATAAAAGTTCCGTTGAACAACGGCACTTGATCGCTGACAATCGCGATTGCAACCGATTACGCGAAAGTAAGCTTGTTTTCGAATCGCTCGCGTTGAGAATTGTGTCCTTGGTCGAGTATAGCTCTCTCCTTGATTGTGTTGCGCGGCCCACATTTTTATCGACGGAACTGTTTATTTTTAGGAATACCCGACAAAATACCGAGACACGGTGCTTTCCGTTACGAACGAACGCGGTCCTGTCAGTTCATATAATACTTATATGTAAATCGCTACTTTTATTATAGAATGCTTTGACCGTCGCAATATTATCGATACAATCTCTGCAGTTGATACATCAATGGACTAGCTTGAATGAATTTTGGCTCTAAGAGAATAGCAACTCGAAATTCTCGTTGTAAAAAATTCGTTTTGAAAAATAAAGACATTTTAGACAATGTATATATTTAACTCTTTTTTTTTTTTTTTGATCATTTGGAACGTACTTTTTTATCCGCGAAACGTAGCCCCTAAATTTCGCAACCGGTTGTTGCATCGAGTCAGCTGGACGGACGAATGTCGCATGTCCCCTTTCCAGGTCAACAACCGCGCTGCATATGACGCACGTCAGGCAGAGAAATGGCAGAGAATGGCAGGTTAGGTTAGGATTGAAACAGCTGATACGAAAACAAAGGGTCCGCGCCCCCCGCTTTCCATTAAGGGGACAGATAAAAGTCCGTGATCGATAAAGCGTATGACACGATTTTCAGCTGAATGAGGCTGATGGAACCCTTGGGTGTCGCCCAGGACATCGTGGAGCCGGCTGCGTTAAAACGATGGGCCGACTATCCCATCCAGCATCGATTCACGGACTATTCCGAGTCGATCAGAGAAACGGCACATCACGCTATAAGTCCCTTCCCTTGTCAACCGTCGCTTAACAACAAACTCGCACTATGGTAAGAATTTTTTATTCGGGACACTCGGACTCTCCTCGAAGATTTACATCTCCGAGTGCTCTGTTTGTGACAAATCATTTTATTAGTACTCGATTCAAACAGAGCTTTTATAATTGCATTGTAATATGATTGTAAGATAATAACAAGATTACATGAATTGTTTCAGGACTGGAGATATCTCAATATTACAAGTAGACGCGATAGTGAATCCTACCAATGAGACGATGGACGATAATAGTCCTATGTGCCAAAGAATATTTAGCCGAGCTGGTTCTGCGCTTAAGATAGAAATATATAATGAAGTAAAAGGTACTATAATAGTTGCACAGTTATATACATACAATAATGGAATCTATCTTAATACTCTGCTTGTCAAAATGTTGCAGAATGCAGAACTGGCGAAGTAAGAGTGACACAGGGTCATGGATTACCTGCTCGTTTTATTATTCATACTGTTGGACCAGTTTATAACGTCAAGTATCAAACAGCTGCGCAAAATACATTACATTGTTGCTATAGGTAATTTACATATATTTACAGTATTTATATACAACTGTTGCTTTATTGATGATATATAAGAAACAAGTTCTGATAAGAAAAAATATTAAATAATCAAGCCTTACAATCTTGTATAATCCTGTTTTCATATTATAGAAACGTCTTACAAAAGGCAAAAGAACTGGGATTGCGCACCATTGCTTTACCGGTAATAAATTCAGTGCGAAGAAATTATCCACCGGATGCAGGAGCACATATAGCTCTTAGTAAGTACAAATACACAAATAAGTGTAATTTATATAGGCACAAGTCACAATATGGAATCAATAATTGATTTTTTTTTATAGGAACCGTACGCAGATTCATGGAGCAATATAGCGATTCGTTAACATGTATTATATTTGTACTGGAGCCTTGCGACCTTGGAATTTACGAAATTCTTCTGCCACTTTATTTTCCCCGAAATCTGGCAGAGCAGGATAACGCTTGCTGGCAATTGCCGAATGATATTGGTGGAACGGACGGGGAACCTCTACTCCCAGATAGACAAATCAGAATTATTGACAATCCTCAGCACGCTTTGCACGGTAACAAAGGATTCTGTTATAAAATATCGCAACTACATATGGCTTAAGCAATTCTTTTTTTGAAGAACGTATTGCGTTTACAGGCGATGAAACGGTGGAGCTTTCAGCACAATTGGAGACTTCTGTAAATATTGGTGAACATGCTTTTGCACAAATGCAAGGTGATTTGGATCGCCAGAGACTTCTGGGAGAGAGACCTCCCGCCGATCCACTAGCGGATATCATGCTCAAGCAAATGCAGCAAAAAGAAAGGTATGAATTTATGATGTTATCCTAATTATTTTTTGCTAAGATTATTCAAATGGTTTTGAATTTATATTATACAATGTTATATTCTTATACAGAAATGGGATTAATTTTGCAATTACAAATAAATGCTAAAATATGAATGATCTGGTGCATTTAAGCCAAAAAATGATACGAGTCTATTTTTATAATCAAAACAATAATTAAAATAATATAATGAACTGATACCAAGACAACTAGTAGCGCTTTTACGTTAGATAGTATTTTTAACTTACTAAACAAATTCGTTACAAAAACAATTCACGTTTTATTCAATATTAAACGAGTAAATGATAGCATTATGCACTCACCATTACAGTAATGCCTTATATTGCACCACCAACAGCTCTTGCAGCAGATTCCATTGAACGTTCTTTTTCCAGATTAATTTCACTTGTATTTCACATATATAAACGTAGATTTTGTGATATTGTTTGTATATTCCATCCCAAAAATTCTAAAAAAGAGAAAAAAACATTGGATTATTTTCTGGTCTTATACTATGCAATTTAGGTACACAATTAACTATCATAAATTGAGAGTTATGATAAAGACTAAGAAATGGAAAAATGTTGAGATTAGTGCAATACAAAAATGTATACATATGATTTTTCGGTTCTGATATATCCAATATGACTGCAGTAAAGAATTAGAAGCTTTAAGTGTTTTTCTTCTATTACGATTTTATCTATTTTCTATATATTTTAAAATCTTATGTGTATCAAATATATTTTTTAAAAAATGATTTGTTCAACTAACAATTTGAAAATTAGCGGATTGCTAGAAAGTGTTTAACGGAAAATTACACAATCGTAAAATTTTTTTCTTGTTACATGCAACAAATTTTAACGAATTTCGATTCAATAATAATATATTTCTTCGTCCCCTCTTTACCTACGCAATACGGTGATCATTAATAAATATATCCGTGCAGAATAACTACCTTTTCCACGGATACAACAACTTTAACAATATTGCCATGTATGACCATTAACAGATTTCTCCTATATCGACAAGTATCAAAGTGAAAATTACATTTTATGAGTATGTAAAATGAACAGAGATCTTAACAGCAAAATTATTTGTTTGAGTTTAATTTAAAATTCTATAAATATTTATAGATGTTGAAAATTATTTAGTACATTTAAGTTATACAGATTCTCGAATTTGCAGTCAAATTTTTGCTCTCACACACACGTACAAGTTAGAAAATTTATCAATTACAAATCAACATGTATATATTTACAAAAACCACTTAGTAATCGTCAGCGATTTTGATCAGCGTCCATTGACGTATCCCTATTGTAATTAACGTTCGTCAACATTCGTCATTATTTAACTAATAAGAGTAAGACTAATAAGATGTAAATTATTCTTCATATGTAAAATTAGATAAAATACGTAAAAAGTTTTCCTCATAGTTAATATCAGTGTGCAATAACAAATAAATAATTATATTGATTATTTGTATTGATATTACATAATGTATAATAGACAACAATATCATATCTATAAATCATCGTTTATAGACTTTTGTATGACGTACGTACGAAGTTTACTTTACTATCCGTTTCTAATTAATATCAGGATCGAAATATCTCTTGCGTCACGGAAATAAATCATTCGTGCAAGTCTGACATTTTCTGTCGTCATTAAATGTTTATTTCTAGATCAAGATTGTCACCGGCTATCATTTTATATCGTGACGAATTCGCTTTATCACACGCGGAATGAAAGTCCCACGCGCGGCTAGAATCATATATACGAGCAATAGCAAATCTTTTCGCAGCAAAACTTTGACAATCAACTAGTTGCTTTAATAAAATAGCAATCGATATCCTTCGCAAATTCGTTCGAATGCATCGGAGAATGCCGTTATTTCGTCATCTCGATAAAATGCCTTGTATCTGTTTAATCGAAGCCAGGGTCACACGAAATTGCAATCTCAAGCAAGAACATGATGTTTCAGACATTACTGCGCGATCGTAATCACATGCAGTATTAGTGTCTTTGTAGTTTGTTATCTAATTTTTCCTTGGAAAGAATGATTTAGGAAGCAATGCTATATTGTATTGCGTATGTTACTTTGTCTCGTTTTTTTTTTTTTTTTTTT